ATCCGGAGAGTGTTTCTGGTCAGGTTTTTGAGCTACTCTATAGCCAAGAGGACATTCCGGCGAACATACGCGGGGAGCTGCGCAAAGCGATATCAAACCTCCTGTCCGAAGATCCACGGAAGCGCCCACTTCCTGGTCCGAGTTTGATCAGAACCGACAGCCCTACATACGCAGCTTGGTAGGTTACGAGCTCCACTGCATTAGTGGAATAAGCTGACGATTAGGCTCTCCTCTATCCAATTGACACCTACAAACAAGCACGTTGGGATCATCGACCCGATCTATAATAAGGGTCCCTTGTTCTGGTACCGACTTGATGAAACCGTTCGGACAGAGCTGGAAGAGCAATATGCCCTGATGAAAGAGGGCAACGCACCGCCCTTCCCCGGCGATGTGCTCTTTGGGCTGGCACAGACGGTCACCGGGGCCAAGCCCTCGTACCTCGATCGGTTGCTGAGGTATCTAACTGAGGCAGCTAGGGCGGGATACTCACCAGCAAGGGCGGTATATGCGCAGATCATGGCGGCGCATGGTCGAAATCTGGAGTTTGCGGAGGATGTACTGGAAGAGTGGATGTTGCAGGCGATTTCTGAGGGATATTTTTTTGCAAGTCCTAGTTACTCGGAGAAGGTCGAGGAAGCACGTGAACGGTTCAGGGCTAATGGAGGGTTCTGTTCGGATCCATTTCTCGGGAAGAAGGATGTTGTTGAGGCTGCGAGGGACAGAGACAGAGCGCTGAACTGGGAGAGGAAGAATGGAAGTATTGTTGATCGGAAAGGAAACACGATCCTACACGCTGCGGCTGCATTGGGAGCTATTAATTCGGTTCAAAGCTTACTAGATGAGGGACAGGTGTCCGTCAATGTGGAGAATGAGAAAGGAGAGACGCCACTGTACAAGGCATTCCAAGCAGGCCATGCGCAAATAATTGAACTATTGCTTGACAAGGGCGCCAACGCCTCCACTGTGACTCGACAGGAAAAGGTGAGTCCGATGCACTGGCTGTTCATGATTCCGGACTCTTCTATTGCTGGAATCGCGAGAAGAATGATCGAGACAGGCGCAAATATCAACGCAACCATTGAGCCTCTTGTCAAGGAGAACAGTGGTGGATTCCCGGAAAAGATCCAGATTCTTCACTAGTACGTTCTCTATCTTCTTCTCGAGGGTAGTCTAACAGTGACAGTCCCTTCGAGCTCCCCCACGGCACACCTCTGCACTGGGCTTGCTTCTTCGGCAACATGACAGCCGTCGAAGCCCTGCTCTCTCTGGATGCCAATGTCAACGCAAGCTATCACGCCTCGGATACATCCACCACTCCCCTTTTCTTGACCGCGTACTTTGGTGAACCATCTCTAGCCAAGTACCTGATATCTCAGGGTGCCGATGCCAGCCTGGTGGACTCCATGGGGCGCAACACGCTGCACGGAATTACCAAGTACTTCCCCGAGCGACATGGCTATCTTCCTCACCACTGGCACTACTGGATCCGTCACGGCGACTGGGAGCAACATGTGGCCAGCATGACGGAGTTGGTCACGATACTTGTCGATGCAGGCGCAGATATCAATGCCAAAGATAAGGCATATCCACCACTGACTCCCGTTGCGGCGGCTGCCGATCTGGGAGTCTGGGACGGAGGGGTAATCTGTGCGCTGTTAGACGCAGGGGCAGACTTAAGTCAATCCGTCCTGTCAGCCGGAGATACAGTTCTACACTCGTGGGCATCCATAGTTGGACCACGTCTAGCTTATCCATATTCCTACCTGTCGACAATGAAGAAAATCGTCAACGCTATGCCAGATATCGACATCCCAAATATGTTTGAAAAGGATACTCCACTGCATTCGTTAGCCACCATCTACCACCCCGAGGAGGAATTTGAAGCCGCATGCGAGATTTTCCTCGCTCACTCTCCTCCAGCTGATATCAACGCGAAGACCCGCCGTGGCGCGACTCCGTTGACCATCGCCCTCGAGACGGATCTTGACCCGGCACAACGAGGCCTCTTCCTCCTCAGCAAGGGAGCCGACACGCTTGTTCTCAACGACCGGGGAAGGGACGTCTTCTTCTCGATCGTCAACAACACCGCCCTTACGGACCAGGCCTCGCACGACCTGATCCGAACATACCTCCACCATCTGAACCCTGATATCCAGCAAGCATATACAAAACACTATCTCCCCAATGCCAACAGCTACCATACCCTTTTCGCCGCCGCAGAACGCGGAAAACCGCTCGCACTAACACTTCTCCTATCCCTTGGCCTAGCCACTCGCATCAACGAACTCGACCCAAGTAAACTCCCACCATGGACAGTCTTAGATCAAGCCCTTCACTGGGCAGAGATCAGCCGCCGCGCACACATGCGCCGACTGGCGGACCACAAGTCTGGAGCTAGTAGGAACCAAGCGCTCGAGCAGAACCTCGTGTATGATGAAGCGCAGGGTCCGCCGGCTCGAGCTGCGGAGGCCTATCGGAGTTTTCCTGCGGTAATACGCATCTTGAGGGATGCGAGAGCGAAGCGAGCGTGCGAGTTGGATGGTAGTTCGACAGCCACTGGGGAATATATCGAGCAGCCGTGGGAGTGGGACTTTACGGAAATATACAACTATGGATTTACGCCGCGAACGCAGCCGAATTTAGAACAGTGGAATGGGTTGTATGAGATGGCGAGATATTCTGAGCGGTGGCAAAAGGATAGGCTGAATGCTTGGAAGGAGGAGTACGAGGCGGGAAGGTGGAGGCCGGACATTCGGCTGCTGGAGGAGGAGGAGCAATCATTTGTGAAAGAGCTAGTCCGTTGTCTGGCAGGAGAGGGGAGGGTCACGCTGGAAGCTGTAGACGGCCAGAGGAAGCAATGGAAGGTCGAAATGGAGGGCGGGAAGATTGTGAATAGACAGATCAAGAGATGACTATGAGTCTACTGAATATGAATGACACCAACAATGCCAATGCGTTGCCATAAACAAGCAAAAATAAGACTTGGCTTGGCTGTCCTTGGCCACGCATGCATTGTATCTCATTCATGCAGATCACTCTTTCACACCTTCCTGTATGGAACAATAGTGGGCTCACATGTCATGGTGCAGATTCTCCAACACGCTAAGGCCGCCACAGCATCACGTCCCGCATGTGAGGGGTAGACTGGACAAGACATTTAAAATGAGCCTGTTGCAACTCGATCATCCATCTACAATTACCCTCCACACCAAAATGACAAGCCCAATGGCCACCAAGATCAAGCTGCTCCCCAACCCCCGCTACCGCAAGTCGGGGACCAAGTCCTATGTCCATCTCATGCGCAAGTACCGCTTCACCCCAACAAAAGGCGGGCCATACTTTTTCAGCAGCACACTTCACCAGACAGGCCGGCAGTATACAAAGCTGCCTGTTGGTGGAAAAGCTCGCATCCAGCACGTCCTGAGCAAGAGAATCGCGGGTACAGACCAGACAGGCGAAGTCGGCGCCGACGACGTCCAGAATGATGCCATGTACCTGGCGCCAGTGAGTATCGGTACTCCAGCGCAGACGCTTAATCTGGATTTTGACACGGGATCTGCGGACTTATGGGTAAGATACTACATATCTCGTTAATAATTGCAAAATACTAAGGAATAGGTCTGGTCAACCAACCTCCCCTCGGCGACCACCTCCCAGCACAAGTCAGGCACAATCTTTGACCCAAGCAAGTCGAGCACTTTCAAAGAACAGTCTGGCTCGACATGGAAGATCTCCTACGGTGATGGCTCCTCTGCCTCTGGTACGGTAGGCGCCGATACAATCTCGCTCGGCGACATGAAGGTCGAGAACCAGGCGATCGAACTGGCCGAGACACTCTCCGCACAGTTCCAACAGGGAACTGGCGATGGTTTACTCGGTCTGGCATTTAGCAATATCAACACGGTTAAGCCGCAGGCTGTCCGCACCCCTATCGAGAATATGATCGCTCAAGAGGACATCCCGAAATCGGCGGAACTGTTCACGGCAAAGTTGGGGTCCTGGAAAGACGCGGACGAGCCGGATAAGGGGGAGTCATTCTACACGTTTGGGTTCATTGATCAAGACACCGTGACGGCGTCGGGTGAGCAGGTATACTACACTCCCATCGACAATAGCCAAGGATTCTGGCTTTTTGACTCTGCATCGGCGACTGTGAATGGCAAGACAATTGCGCGATCGGGGAACAAGGCCATAGCTGATACGGGGACGACGTTGGCGCTGGTCGATGATGAGACGTGTCAGGCAATTTACGATGCTATCCCGGGGGCACATTACGATGAGGATAGCCAGGGGTATATTTACCCGTCCAACACGACAGAGGACAAACTTCCTGTTGTCTCGTTCGCCGTGGGAGACAAGCAATTTGTTGTGCAAAAGGAGGATCTGGGCTTCGCCGAGGCCAAATCGGGGTATGTCTACGGAGGTATCCAGAGCAGAGGCAGTATGACAATGGATATCCTTGGTGACACATTCCTCAAGGGAATTTACGCAGTACGTTTTTGTCCGTTTGTTGAAGTCATCTTGCTAACGGTGGTAGATATTCGACGTCGGCAATCTTCGTTTCGGAGCTGTCCAGCGAAAAGAGTTGCATCAGAATCTGGCTGTTCCTCAGTAACTGCTTGTTGTCTCTGTTGAGACACGGCCAGAATGAATGACATTGTCATTCATCGCAGAGAACAATGTCTTTGTTTAATTGTCTCGTCCCTTTTGTAGACGTATCTTAATAACAATGATTGTATCAGTCAGTCGCTATGTCCTCTTTGTTAGCAACCAAGAAATACCCAAAACACTTTCGTCTACGCTCCGTGGTGTTTGAAACCTCCTGCTTCTGTCTCAAGAGACTCCCACCGACTCGAATATTAATCTCAACGACGCCATGAAGTCCATCCTCTCATCATCATCAATCACATCTTTCGTTTAATAACTCCTGATTGCAAGTCCAATTTGACACCTTTCCCCGCGGATCACTGGTCAACGCAATTACTTGGACATTCACAATGGTTTGTGAAAATCCCATCCCTTTACAAGATGAAATGCTAACTCATATCCAGCACCTCCCGCTTGAAGTGCGCGAGAAAGTCGCACTCCTCCCTGAGTCTCCCTCCCGCGAAGAGTTGTATGTCCTGTGGACCAACCTCTTACAGAGACATTTCCCCTTCCCTCTCCGTGGTTCTCTCCCAAACCTGCCCGATCTTCCTGACGAGACTGAGGTAAAGTACGCTCTAAGCAACCATCAGAAATCCGAGAACTCACACATCTCGCTCGCCATCGGCCGTGAATACGGCCCCTTTGACCGTCTGAACTTCATGTCTTCTGCCAGGCTGAGCCGAAGGAGGAATGGCACCTGGCAGAGCTGCAGGCTACGTTGAAGGAGGAGATGATGAAGTCGTCTCACTGTCACATTGCACGAGGGCGCGGGATGACAATCCACGGTGCGATCGTCGTCGGTCGTGAGGCCAAGTTCTACAAGTGAAGCCCGACGGATTGTTTGAGTGCATGACGTGGTTGGCCCAGGGAAAGAAGAGTCTGCATATTCTCCGGGATATGCGGATTATTACCACCCATCTCATGCAGATAAGCTATGAGGTGAGGATGCGTGATCGATTCGGTCTGGTTTGGTCTGATTTACTTGTTACAGTGCGATAAATATACGGCATTTGTTTCGAACGCGTTCTGCTTCTAGGTTTGTTGATATCTTGCGCTTCGAGACGGTTGGTTGTTTATGGGCTTGCTTGCTTGACTTGTCTGGGTGAGTTATGCAACTGTCCTACATTTTCGGTATTTGACTTTGTTGTTGACTTGAATGATTGATGTATCTGTTTGGAAGGGCTTGTGCAATCTACAATCATTGAAACAATCATAACTTTCGCCGTGCTTTCCTGTCCAACTCCATAGATACGGCCAGTGCCGGATCGATTTAACTAGTTTGATCTTGCCTAAGCACATAATCTAACCCGCGCCGATATTGTGGACGACTGCATGATACCTAGGAATGATTATCCCTTGCGTTTGCGTGGAAAGACCGGGAGAGACAAGCTGATCAGCCCTAGACTTTCCATGCATTTTTTCCGTTCCCATATCCTCCAACCCTTGAGGGCTAAAATTACTATCATAAGGCCTAAAAGGAACGTCAATTCACCCGGACATACGTAGGCTTCTGTTGTCGAGACGGTCGGCAGGCCGCTCTTTGCCCATAACCTGTCATGTGCAGCCTGACACGGAATCACGGTCCGATCCCTTCATCCCTCGAGCGTGATTGATGCAAATTCCTCAGGGCGTAAATCCGGCTAAATAAGGTAATTTGGTTGCACCTAACATTTATGTAAGGTTTAAATAGATTAGAGTGTGAAGTTTTGCCGTCTCGGCTTATGCTTCTCTTACTAGGCTGAATACTGCAGACATGGGTTTTGCGGGGTATATATGCCTCTCCGTGCTTAATGGAGACAGTCAAGTAGGGTATAAATATAAGACGAATTTCCTCCGAACTCAAGGCTTCCACGTGGTTGATCAAGCTTTGACGGAATGATGCTTGTTCTTGGTATATTTGTTTCCCAGCTTGCTGTGGCTGCCGCGCAGAGCAGCTGCGTCTCGGCTTGGTGAGTCCTCCTCTGGTCAGACTTTGCATTTGACTGAGAGTCAGGGGTCAATGTGGTGGCATTTCTTACACCGGATCTACCTGCTGTCAAAGTGGGAATACCTGCGCCGAGATCAATTCGTACTACTACCAGTGCACGCCAGCAACAGCTGTGAGTGTTATAACCACCGAGCTATTCGTACTAGGCATAACAGCAGTAGGTTTCAACCACCAACTGGGACCTCTCCCTCTAGCACTGGTTCATCTTCTGCCAACACGTCAGGCTATACGACGACTACGGTTCTTCCCAGTCCTACAGCTACCCAGAAACCTTATCCAGCGGCCAACGCCAGCTCATGTGGATCATGGGCTCTCGTTGATAACGTTTGCTGCCCTTACTACTGTCTCTCGAATAATGAATCCGAGTCCTGCACGAGCAGCTGTACCGGCGGCTGCGGCAGTCCTAATTCCTCCATGTGCAAGTCCGGGACAATGTGTATGTTTTATCCTTCCATCTGTGAACATGGCTGATATTACCACAGGGGGAGAGCAACATACCGTAACCTCTAACGAGAACTGGCATTACAGCGTGAGCACCTACATCATGCTTCAAATTCATTCTGACAAATACAGCGCTCAACGCACTTTGGTCTGACCAGCGGCGGCGCCTGCGGATTCGGCCTGTACGGCCTCTGCACCAAGAACAGCGTCACAGCCAGCTGGACAGACCCCATGCTGGGCTCTACCTGCGACGCCTTCTGCAAAGCATACCCGCTCCTCTGCAAGGACCCCGCTAACGTCACGCTCCGCGGGAACTTTGCCGCTCCAAACGGAGACTACTACACTCAGGTAAGCACGCACAAACCTCCAAGCGACAACCGCTGAGTGAATAGTTCTGGCCATCGCTCGCCGCATCCGGCAATCCCGACAACTACCTCTCCTGCGGCGAGTGTTTCGAGCTCATTCGTACCAAGGCCGACGGGACGGACTACGCCGTCGGTGAGAGCGGATATACCGACCCCATCGTCCTCGAGGTAGTAGACAGCTGTCCCTGCGACGCAAATTCGAAATGGTGCTGTAAGCGGATTTCTTCCCCCACTTTGACACAAAAATCTCACGGGATCAGGCGGAAGCGGCGCTGACCACTGCGGTGAAATCGACTTCAAGTACGGCTGTCCCTTACCGGAAGGATCCCATCACATGGACCTCTCCGATATCGCCATGGGCAGACTCCAAGGAAATGGCAGTCTCACCGATGGCGTGATTCCTATCCGCTACCGGCGCGTCCCCTGTCCCAAGCCGGGTAATATCTACATCTGGCTTCATGATGGGGCCGGGCCTTACTATTTCGCGCTGAGCGCGGTGAATACCAACGGCCCCGGGTCCGTGATTAGTATTGAGGTACAGGCTGGTGGCTCCGGGCCATGGGTCGCCCTCGAGCACGATCCGAACTACTCGAGTAGTCGGCCGCAAGAGCGGTATGGCTCTTGGGTCCTCCCGCAGGGCAAGGGGCCCATTACTGTGCCTGTTGCAATGAGGCTGACGGCGCCGGATGGGCAGCAGGTGGTTAAGCAGGGGGCGATTACCAGCTTTACCCCGCCGGCGACTGCGGTCCAGGGGTTCTGGTATATTGATCTGGGGGTGCAGTTTACCTAGGTAGATAGAGCACAACCAGCGCCTGGGATGACAAGTTATGCTCAAGAAGATAGTTGAATAGTGATGTAGCATTCAAATAATTCTTAAGGTTGAAATGGCTCTCTAGTTCTCTGCAGTCACTTATGGGTCTCTCACATGAACCCGCCCAAAGAGCAGATGCTGCCCAACACTATGCCATTCAACCGATAATTATCATATAGCTCAGAGGTGGGAGGCTGTGCATCCGAGTCCTGACTAGACGATACAGCCAAGCTACAATTCTTGAGAATGTGCAAGAGCAGGTTCGGATGCCTTTCCGCATCTACATGGATTGTTAATCACCATCGACCCTCCGGTGCTCGCACGCTATCTTCCTAGAAACTTCTCGACGTTTGTCTTGCATCAGCGGTGCCGGCTGTAGGAGAAATTATAGACAGTCACTCTGCGCCTGAGGATGCACAGTTAGCTTATTTCAACAAGTTAATCAACGCGACGAACTTCGACAAGCCTTGGAGCTTAAGCCAGAGTACTGATTTGGACGAACGGGTTTGATCCTCTCGAGGCTAGTAGCCGTTCTCGCTGGAGCCAAAATCGTGTTTGGGACGTGGAGGCACTTTACAACGAGAATATAAGCCTGCTCTTGGCTATTACTTGCCTCAATTCCAGAGGAGGGTCCATTCCGCAGGTTCTTACCCGAATAGGGCATGAATTGACGGTCCAATGGAAGTCGACATCCAACAGCCTAATGATCTACCAACAGTTAGCCAATAATAGTGTTTATAAATGACTCTACTTCGACTCACCTAGTAGGGCCAGCTTGTGTGTGAAATATTACTTGAATCTATGCATACGCAGCTCTTGTTGTACCTCTCCGCAATCAGTCTGAGGCAGATGAACGTCATGAAGGTTTGGAGCTCATTTCTCCTTCCATTCTCAGTTGGACTTGGTGCTACTGAGGAAGCTTTCTGTACCACAGAGCAAGCCTGACAATACAGATCACCTCGTATTCAGAGCTCTCCAATCGACAGAAGACTAGACGAGGATGAATAGATCACGAGACCGCCGCCATATTGACTAGATATGTGGACCCAAAGAGTCCGAAGTTAAAGTTTGGGACAATTTGACCCGAGTACATTTCGAATCAGGATCTCCGCGAATCACAGCAACTGGGAGAGTCGCAGACCGTCGCAGCATATTTAAGATAGCCAGACTCAGTGAGTCGCATGACTGTTAACTGCAAGCTGGCATCAGTGGCGCTCTTTATGGTGGTGCATGCTGTGCCTATATTCGTTGATCACTGTATGCATATTCATTGTCATTCACATGATCTGAGTTTAGATCTGTAGTCCGAGGATCGCCACAATAGAATGACGGGACTCGGGAGGGGACCCGCCAGAGTGGCTAAGTCCACGCATACTACACCTTCGGGTAAGACTCCTGGAAATTATTGGATGCTGCAATGGCGCTAGTGGATCGACAGAACGAAGTCATGCAGGCTGTGGTGGGGCTAAACAAACGTGGAACCAGAATTGTCATATCACCCAAGATATTAGACTTAGGGTGTATGTACCATTTATATGGTGATGCTATATAGAGGGTACATCGTGATTACGGTGAAAATCGTGAATACGGTGGGGCACACCCACACCGGGAACCGGTGTGGGTGTGCTGCTAAGACACAGATATCTGCATGACCCAGCTACCTTTGCGGCCTGGGAAGCACAGCTACACCCTCCTCCAGACATCAAGGACGCCTCATATGCAAGCTACATTGCCCAGATCTACAAATGAGCATGGTCAGCAAAACCTTGATCCCACTGGGTGGACATTACCCCAACAGAGATATGGCTAGGAGGGTCAAGTCTCAAGGCAGAGGGTGTCGCTGGGCAGCCGCGCTGCCAACTTGTGCAACGATCATGCATTAATTTACGTAACATTCAAAGTGTGTCTAAGAGATCTAGTGGCAAGGAACGAGCCCGGATATTAATGGATCTGAAACCTGAAGAATACGACATAGGCAGACAAAGAGGATGAAGTATTTGGTTTCCCGTGCCTTATCCGAACAACGAACCAATATGTCGACAGGGACGTCTGCTACTCTAGGTGCTCTTAGTGCTGCTGTGGGCGTGACGTCGACCTTTCTCTACGCAAGGGGCTATTACAGGCTAATACACGATGATCCTATCCACAACGTTAAGAATAATGAGTAGAACATAATTACCTACCCAGCAAATGGAATCTCAAGGGCTAAATCTCTATGGTGCGAGCTGCCTCCGGTTGCTACGGTTTTTAAAAATTAGCAAAACCTTAGTTAGTCTAATGTAATATAGATGTGATTATAAATAACTTATATCCTTATATCAACTGTCATCATTCATGGCAGACTTGCTGAGTTAAATAAATACCTAGGTGATATATGGTAGCTTAATTTTTAATATACTCTTTTTTCTACTCTTAAAGTTTAATAGATAATTATGAAAGTTCTGCCTTGTTTCAACTCTGTAAAGGGTGGGCTGCCTATTAAAAAGCTAGAGACATCATCTATTAGGGTATCTGGTCTCATAGTTATAGCTAATCAAAAGCTTTATGCATTAGGATTATAAACCTAAGCCTGAATTATATATTTACTAGCTAATATGGGGAAGGCAAAGGAGCAGCTGACTCTCTTAACATGGTAGAGGAAACTTAGTGTCACTACTGAAAAGATGGTGGAGGAAAAGCCGTTTGCATGTTTTCAACTTGATCAGCTCATCTTACCCTTTCTATATATTACTGGGTACATATATATCACTCCTGCTCTAAACAGAAGCCAGAAGACATCAAAAAACAAGGCTTTTGGTATGTCACTCAACATGGCGCTAATCAATTCAAATGTAACCAATATGGAATGAGGTTTCGAGCGCCACTATCATATTTGACATCATTCTTCACTGAGCCTGAGAACGTAACCTGCCATTTGTGAGATCCCCCGGGATTTGGTTCTTAGCATGCATGCGGAAATGTTAACTCCGACATAGAGTAGAAGCCCTGAAAAAGCAAAGAAAGACGATAAATATGGCCGTTAGCTGGCTGTCTGAGGAACCTATTCGAGTCCAGTAGCTTAATTATTTGTTTAGAATTTCTTTTTTCTTGTTGCCCAAACTCCATAATTGTACCTAGGTATTATTATGGGCTGTACGCCGTACTTTCCCCTTGTTCTTATATTCGGGCTCCTCTATGTGCTTGTTGCAGAGGCTGTTCCTCTTCTGCCAAGTGAGGACCCTTTTTACACCCCGGACGATGACTCTTGGTCAACATTGCCCCCCGGAACCATTCTGAATTCCCGCAACGTGACAATCGTCTCCCTGGTCCCTGGCCTCCCAAGTAAAGCCAAAGCATTTCAATTGCTGTATGTCACCCGGGACGTGCATAAGCAGCCAGCCCACACAGTCACGACAATAGTGGTCCCTCAAAGCCCAAAGTTCGATCGGCTCCTCTCCTTCCAGATTGCCTACGACTCGCCTGATATCAATTGCTCTCCCTCATACTGGATCCAGTTTGCTGTGGACGGTGCCGCTGCTACCTGGAACCGGAATCAGCTAAGCTATGTGCTTCCATACTTGCAGCAGGGTCCGATTCTGAATATACCGGACTACGAGGGTTCCAATGCCGCGTTTACCGTGGGCCCGCAAAGTGCCTACCAAACTCTGGATTCTATCCGTGCGGCACTGAATTCAGAACACCTCACCGGCGTCAGCCCTGAGGCCAAAACGATCATGTTCGGCTACTCTGGAGGCGGTCTCGCCACAGAATGGGCTTCTGAATTCCATCCCAGCTACTCACCGGAACTTAACATCGTCGGGGCTGCGATCGGCGGTGCTCCTACTAATATTACAAAGACCTATCTGTCCGTCAACAGGGGGGGAGCCTCATGTTTAGACGCCTGGGCCATACTGGGAATAATGAACGCATTTCCTGACCTCAAAGCCTATATGCTGGACCACCTTCTACCTGAGTACCGTGATGCTTTTCTCGGTCCTCTGAAACACTGTAGTCCCCGTACTGGGGACGGAAGCGACCCCCCTCCTCTCAGTAACTTGAACATTTCATCCTTCTTCGATAATGGTGACCAGTTCCTATATGAGTTCAAAGATATTCTCGATGAAATTGGCGTGATGGGAAGACACGGATTTCCCAAGTTTCCATTGTACATCTACAAAGGCACGAATGATGATATTGCACCCACGTTTGAAGATACAACTGCTCTAGTGCGGAAGTTCTGTGAGGCAGGCACTAATGTGAGGTATTTTCCGTACGTGGGGCTGGACCATAAGACTGCCTTGATTTTCGGTACGCTTCCAGGTTGGGGATGGATGACAAATATCTTCAACGGGATTGAGCCACCAGGCTGCCGCCAAAATGACCTTAACCCTGACGCGGATATAGGCGAAGGAGATATACTGGAGTATTTAATCAGAAAACTTTCCATTCCCCTAACTTGGGCGAGTTGAAGAAAGAAGACACCGCATGCCTTAAGAGTAGTTTGGTTTTGGATATTGGAATTGACTGAATTTGGCTATTCCTTGAACAATATATCTATATCCTTAAACACTTCTTCAACACACATTCGCCCTTGCGGAGTCTATTAAATATATTCATAAACAAAGACTGTAGATTCCACGACAAAATGACCCCGCCGGTACGGCTCTTGGGTCCTCCCGCCGGGCCAGGGGCCCATTACTGTGCCTGTTGCGATGAGGCTGACGGCGCCAGATGGGCAGCCAGTGGTTAAGGAGCGCGTTTACCAGCGTTACCCCGAGGGCAACTGCGGTCCAGGGGTTCTGGTATATTGATCTGGAGGTGCAGTTTACCTAGGTAAATAGAGCGCAACCAGCGCCAGTCATGATTGGTTATGCTCAAGCAGATGGTTGAATAGTGATACAGTGATTCAAATGAATCTGGAGGTTGAAATGGCTCTCTCACCTGAGCCCGCCCAAGGAGCAGATAGTTGCCCAAGTCTATGTCATCCAACCGATAATGATCATCTAGCTCAGAGGTAGGAGGCTCTGCATCCGAGTGCTGACTAGACAATACTTCCTTAGCCAAAGTGCTCGAGTAAGTGTGCAAAATAGGGTGGAACAGCCTTCAGCACTTGTTGAGAGATCGACCGTCAATTGACGTCAAAACCCCGATATTTGCACGCTGTCTGCCTAGAGACTCTTCGATCTTCCCCCCTCTAGCGCTGTGTTGCCCGAGTGGTGTCGCGTATAGGCGAAAATAAGCGAAATGATTGACAGTCATTTTGCGCGCCTGAGAAGGTGAGTTACCTTATTTCCAAAGCCCGGCCTAGGTTTTCAAAGCCCGGCCCGGGGGCAGTTCAGAAGGATAAGCCGGCTCTCGGCTATTCCTTGCCTCAAATGCCGGAGGAGCCTCCATTTTGCAGTTCTTACCTGGATTGGGCATGGATTGAAGCTCTAATCTTGAGCCGATAGTCCCCCTAAGAAGCCAGCAGCCAATAATACTGTTCTATGGATTCCTCCCCGCTTTGACTTTACAGAATGCGAGGCTGACTGCGATCATCACGGCTACGCCACAACAGGCACAAGGCAGTGTTTAATTACCCAGGCTTCCCGTGTACTCTCTGTTGTTTGATCACATTGATTTTTCCTGACTGTACCTCATGTGTCTGCGAGCGACTTTCTGCTAGTTACCTCCCGAGGAATATGCGTGATCCAGTCTGTTCACCGATGTTGAAAGTCAATAGAAAAGATGCACGATGATTCAGATAATCAGCTTAGCGAGACCTTGATCGAGCCTACAAACTCGGCTATCTCCACCCCTGGATCTGATCGTCATTCAGTAGATGATGATTCTTCCAACCAGCAAGGTGCCGGGAGCGACAAGCCCAACCCGCCGAATCCATCTGTCCCCCTGCAACGTTCGGTGTACATCGTGTTCTTGACTCTGTTGTACGGAGCCGCAGCATTATACGCTTGGATCATTATCTGTATCCTCACGTATCGCCCAATTGGTGCAAATAGCTAGGGACCCAGCGAACTCGATCGTATTCTCAGTGGCCCTCATCTGGGCACCACCACCGTACCCGAGTACCTCGGCGCATTATTCGCCAAGAGCGAGAGATATCTCAGCAGGGCGAGAACTGTCCAGTCGTTGGTGTCCGTGCTCACCATCCCCTTGACTTCCGCCGTGTGCTCGCAAGCAGCCGTGGCGTATATCCAGCGGAAGCGAGGGGCCCAGCGCCCGACCCTCAGGCAAAGCATGGCCCTGGCGGACAAGGGATGGACCGACCTTGTACTTTTGAAGAATCTCGTCTTTGGGGGATGGAATAAGTACAGGTCCTCGCTGCTACTCTTTGCCTTGTTTCTGCATGTCATAGGTAAGTTTATTGTCTTGTTCGCTCCACCTGGACGTACCTGCTCACCTGCTTTTCTTCTCTTCTCGTTACAGGCGCTGCCATATCTCCGGTACAGCAGATCTTTCTCTCGTGCAAGACGATCAAGCGTGTCGGGTATCCCGTCAGCCTCACCCAAATCACAGACTTCACTAATCTTTTCCGGACCGCGGACCTGACATTGGGCTGGATGCAACCAAGCTCAGAGCCACTCTGGCATCGACGGTCAATACGGTGGTTCAGCCGAGACTCTGGTCCACAGCCAATGGCACTATCTCCCTTGGTGATAAGAGTTATTACACGTATTCGGCATTACAGACAAAATCCCAAAACACCCTCGCCAATATATCCACTATCACTGATCCATTCTGGGCCGAGCTCCCCACCAGTACCAACACTGGTTTAATTCAGCAGTTCGCTCCTCGAATCAACTCGACGCCCATATGGGAGAACAATTCAGCTGCTGTACTTCCCGAAGACTGCAAGTCATCATCTGACGCCTTCTATCTTCACTACAAATATGGACAACACAATGACGCCCCATTTCAATACGACATTGAGATATGTATTCCGGGAAACATGTCACAATCGCCGTGGAGAAACCAGTTGTCCCGACAAGATTTCAGCGAAGAGCTGTATTTCCATATGAACTTTTCGGGAGACGGGGGGATGCTTAACTATGTGCCTAGATTAGGAACACATTCGAGGAAGCTGACCCTCCACACCACGACGGACTACTTCGAGCTACCCAACTACGCAAATGGCCAAGTCCCTGGGCCATTGATTGAAGAAAGCCCTTTTGGCAGGAGCCCGCGGGATTTCACACCTCGGGATCTAGCTAATAATACAGCATGGACTACGCTCGACGCTACCTTGAATGTGATCAATGTTAACAATAAAGGTCCCCTTCTTTACATCGCCATGGCACTGTTTGGCGAAGGCTCTTTTGCTGGCGTGCAACACACAGTCTTGGCAGCATATGCCAACTCCGGCATCAGCTACGGTGGATGTATTGACACCATCCCTTTTATTCCACTTCTCGATGACCCCCACTCCTCCTTTAAGTCATCGCCAGGTAACCCTTGTCTAACGGGTAGTGGTCTAATGGGTAATGGTACCCGTGATCGTGTATACGACGACGACAGGATGCATGCAATTGTTGCGGGGTACTTTTTTCTTTTCTCTGGGGACCCTACCTATGGGCCAACCTCAGAACGAATACAGAATGCGTTCGCCTCGGCGGCGTTTCTAGCCAACGACATGTTCATGACGAACAACTACCATGAGCAGAGTATCGACGTATCATACGATATGGGCGCCGATGTACAAATCCCGCACATCTCCCGTGCGAGAATTATCTTCGTCTCGGTATTATTAGGTCTTGATTTGGCATGTCTTCTGGCATTGTCTCTTTATACCGCGTGGATTCCTCGAAGGACTGGGACTCTCGACTCCTTTGCGATGCTGCGGATCGGGCCCTCTATCTCCGAAAGAGTTCCTTTACTGGCTGCGCAAGATGTCGGCCGCATCAAGATCCTCGACGAGACTCCTGGGTGGATGGGGAACGCATCCGATGCCGAGATAGGGGAACTGTGCTTAGGCGGGCAACGGCCACTCGAGAAGACGCGGCGTTACCGCTGTTATGACACCGATCATGCGGCTCAAGCCATAGCGACGAGGAAGCCCTCGGGACTGATCAGACGAGAGAGCTATTGCTTGGCTTCGGGAGAGAATACGTAGAAGTCATACTGGCCACACCAACCGACCTCTGGCCTGAGAGAAGCGCCACGTTAGTTTAAATGGAAGCCAGATGCTGTACTCTCCATATATATATTCTTGGAGTGAGAAACACCGCTAATATTCATAGAATTATAAGTTTAATATGGTCATACCCTGGTTTATTAAATTGCTACTGCGCGCCACCCCATTTCCCTTTCCTAACCCGCCTTCTATCGCCCCTCACCCATTGACCATGTACTTTCACTCCAGCATAAGTCGTGTTAAGGGATCCACCGAAGGGATCTAAGTCGGCAAATCACTCATTTGACATGGTCAAAATTCACAAATCAGACACTCCTTCAGTCTGCTTTGGTTAGCGAGTAAGGCACGCTGTGCATTGCGCTGTTGTCATGATTTTGGCTTGAGCGGATCGCTCATGAGGAGATGTAAAGCGGATTGAGATCGTACATCTAACACTACACCCGAGACAGACTTGTAAGACAAGAGCAATAAATTTAGACTTTTCCCAAAGATAGTAATAAAACTTGTAACTTTGAGAGACACGTCCATGCCATTGCAGCTCACATACGTCCTCGATCCATCGACTCGTTCGAGCCACGAAAAAATATCGAATGAATCTATCTTCCACTCTTTCCGGAAAAAATGCACCATTGTCCACTCTAGTAGCAGTTGATTTAGAACAAAGATCAATAGGAAAACAAGGAACACTTGGTATCAAGAGACTAAAATATGGTACTAGGGCGTGGTTCGTAATTGGTCGACTAACATACAACAACATATTCATATGGAGCGTGAAGTCCTATATCTACATCGTGGTGAATGTTGAAGGTATAACATGGATAGACTCGCTCGTATATGCTTTCTCATATTAGAAACTGCCAAGACCCTAATTTGCTGTTCTGTTATAGTTGACATAGCTGATACCCACCCCTTGGTTCGCGTGGAAAGTCTAAACCACGTTATGACATCACGACCTTCTTTCGATGCCTGTGATGCTGACTGTCCTCCGACGCCTCTGCAATTTCTGAATGGATAATGGTCGGATGACCATAGTTTTGCGTATGAATCGTGATGATTCCTCTGGACTCTCTTTATACATTGTCCCGCATATCCGCGGAGATGCCGACACAATCAATGCGACCTACATCCAGACTACCTGAATTATGAGTGACACTATTATAACCAGATGTGACGACATCCCAGGGCCAAAAGAGCTCTCCGAAGCCTACGAGCTCGAACTACAATGCCCAAATGGCAAGCCGATCCGGTTCGGTGAGCTAGTAGCTGGGAGAGGAGTCCAGATCACAACGGTTGTGATTTTCAGTGTGTCTCTCGTTCACATTGCCTTGCTAGCCTTCTCATATACTGACAATTCTCAAGTCCGCCACTTCTTCTGCGCCTATGATCAGGACTATGTCCGCGTAGTCTCGCGGCGTCTCACCGACTCCGTCCTCTCGACCCTCCCCAACCCCACCGGCCCATCACAGCTCATCATAGTCGGCTGCGGTGACCCGCAGCGCATCGTTCCCTATGTGTCAGAGACAGAAGTCACGTTCCCCATCTACACGGACCCCACAGGGAAGATCTACGAGAAGCTGCAAATGAAGAGGACGAAGGCATGCATGACTTCACCGCCCTCTTATGCTCAGCTCTCTTTCTTCTGTGCGCTTGGGCAGACATTCAAACAGATGTTTCATAGTGGGTGGCAAGCGTTTCGAGGGGGACCTTGGGGACAGAACGGCGGCGAATGGGTGTTTCGAGGGGGCAAGTGCGTTTTTGCCCATCGGATGGAACATGTCTCGGATCATTTGACGGCGGATCAATTGCTTGAGGTGCTCAGCCTTGATGAGCCGCGAAACGAAGTAGGAATTGGGCGAGATATGGGTGTTGGGGTACAGTTTGACTGAGTGCATATTGTCCTGAGGAGGGCATTAACCAGTCAACCTGCCATTTCAAGTGCGATACTCTGATTGGTAGGTTTTTGTTTTTTTATTACGCATTATGTTCTTAAGTACACTTATTCATCTGGCGAGGCTATGTCCCATTCTGATGTGAATGATGAAACGGCCAATGAGAAGGGTTGTACGGCCGAAAAATACTTACTATTTTAGGTCTGGCGCATTTTATTATGAAGTGTCACATAGGCGCGGGGTAACTATGTAAAGCGCTGAGACGCCAACAAACCCCCATCTAGGTATTCAAAATGAGCAAGGAACTCTCAATACTTTGCTTTGGCGACTCCCTTACAGCCGGATACTACTATTTTGGATGCGACTACCATCCATACGCCTTGACACTGAAAGCTAAACTGCAGGCAGCCTTTCCCACCACCACATTCATCATCGACGAGGACGGCCTTCCAGGCGATTTGGTCATCGGCCCTGCCGGAGAATTTCTGCCTCGAGTCCAAGCAAAATGTGTGTCGACTCCATTGTCTTTCTTGCAGTGCTGAATCTGACCATTACAGTTGACAGATCCATTTATGACTGGGTTATCATTCTCGGGGGAACCAAGTATGTTTGCCTCGTTCTTCACGGCTGAACAACCTGATGCTAATATACGCAGTGATCTCGGGAGAGGCTATCAAGCTTCGAAGATATACCCTGCCCTGCAAGAGGTGTGGGAGGTAGCTCTACATAACGGCGCAAATGTTCTCGCCCTGACGGTTCCTGAATGTTCGGTTGTCAGTACGACGCTTGACAGGAGGAGGAACGAGGTGAATTCGTCCATACTCGCTCATAAAGCGGAAGGATTGTGAGTTTAATAAAACTGAAAACACTGCAAAGCGGCTAATCCTGAGACAGCCACGCGTTTGACCTGCATGGCAAGCTCCCGTATCGCAACGCCGCAGAGGACTTCAGAGAGGAGATCTGGGATGATGGGCTGCATCTTACTGCGGAGGGGTATAAGCTCGTGGGTGAGGTAGTTGGTGAGCATTTAATTGCGCTGTTAAAGGACAAAGGTTTATAAGGAGAGTTGCCAGAGGGCTCTACACCTGCATTTGACCCTATGGCTGAGAGAGAAGCGGAATCGGTTGGAACGTGTAACTGATCAACAGTTTCTATCTTGTATCGTAGATTTTAGTACAGTTACCCTAGAGCCCGTTTGCGGAAATCACTGATCCAACAACAGCTTCCTCCTTATCGGAATCCGCAGCACGCTTCCCGGCCGCAAGACCAGCTATAGTAGGATCGCTTGCCTGATAGCAAAGATGGCATCGTCAGCGGGCATAAACCAGACCATCTATCACGACATGGTGGAGACAAGTAGATGGGTACGAGCACCGCCGCTCCTTGAACAACTCCATGGGAATAAAGCCTCCAAAAAACAACCAGAGTGGGAATATGAATGCGTCGAGCGTGAGACAGGTGACGGTTGAGTAAGGAAATTGAGCTCATTATAACATCATAAGATGAAAAGCAAGACCACGGCTGGTACAAGACACTAGTTACAGTAACCTCGATGAAGGCCGCGGTTTAGAGCCAACTGACCGAGAGCCTAACCCGATATTCCCCAAATGCTTCTCTACCAACGACTACCATGGGCTGTGCTTGCGGTTCTTGGAGGATGGCCACTAGTTTACCTGCGATGGCAAGTCAAGGCATCTCTTATGAGCCAGCCATACACTCGAAGCTCTTTAACACGCACCTGCTGGTCAATACAAAAGATATTGAGATATATCAGCCAGATCTCTTCCACGCCGTTTCAAGATGCCTTCCAGCGCGATATCTCGTCCACACTCCGTCCACAAAGCAGACAAACGACACTCCCTCAGATCAGGCGTCGGGCACGGGTTCACAGAAGTGCCCCGCAGGCTCATGTTGCATGCCTCACATCTTACCCCGCAGGGACTCATTCACACAGCTATCGTCAAATCTCTAAGATGCAGAATCGTCGATTTGAAAGGTGGCCGTCCACACTCCAGCTGATGCAGCATCCACTATAGCAGATATTAAGTGGAGCGCCTGATTTCCACAACGCATCCGCTCGAGTCTGATCAAACAGCGCTCTGCAGGCACTAGACACAGCCACATGATCGGCGCTGAATACAATCTGATCGAGGTCAATATCTGCTTCCCGCGTATCAACTGGCGTAGGCGATGGTTCAGGCACAGGCACGCTCAAGATGTCCACTTCAACCTCACGTTTGGGCGGAGTGGGTGAAGACAGAGGCTTTTGAGGGGGCCGTATACAAGGGGCGTAATTCGGATCACCTGCCCAAGTCGAGAATTGGAAACACAATGGATATTCATCCTGATTTTTGCCAGAACAGACGTAGATCTACCCTCGGGCATAAGCGGGAAGCCTCCTCACCCTGACGTATGGCCAGAGGGGCACTAGCTGGCGGGTTAGGATCACCAACGCCCAGAGTCGCGAGGTAACCCGCTGGATATTCGACCTGACGTTCGACCAGACTAGGTAGTTCAACCTCAGGCACAGTCGAGGTATCCACCTTAGGTTTATTCACAACAGTAGCAGTCAAAGCTGGTGATCTTCTCTTTTGCGAGAAAGCTTTTGCGCATGCCTTCCATGACGCCGACGAGCGCAGGAAGGGCATCGCCCTTTTGATCAACCCACAAACAGACGAAATGACAATGGGCACTCAGGCGGAGCTCATTACGCTGATCGTCCAAAAGCTTTATAAGAATCCATCCATGATGCCAGCTTTCACTGATCTTTATTATGGCTCATACAAGCCCGTTGCTGTGTCAGAAGTAGACGACACCCCTATTGTAGATACGTAAGCGGCCTACTTGAGACGAATATCAACTACGCTAATATACCCAGGTTCCTTGTTGAGCGTATTGTGGCATTGAATGGCTTTGGCTGTCCTCTCTTGTCTCGCGAGTCTCATAAACGTGCCATGACAGGCGAGGCGCAACTGGACAATGACGAGCAGTAATTCTATTCCTGTGGCGTTTGGCCTCTGGCATCCTACATCAATCATTCATGCTGCAGCAATGCTCGGCGTTCATTTATTGGCGATATGATGGTTGTTCGTGCCACACAAGATCTCGCTGCGGACACAGAAATCACGTTCTGGTATCAATCACCCCTAAACAACGATTCCAAAGAGAAACAGATGGATCTGCGACACTGGGGCTTCAAGTGTACCTGCATAATATGCCAAGATGTCCAAAATACTGAGAACAGCATTTTGACAACGAGAAAGAAACTCACGGCTGGTTTAGTGAAAGATTTCCAATGCCGCAAGAAGCCAAGCACAACTAAAATCGAGGCCATACTTTCCAAGCTTGAGGAAACATATCGACAGCCAGCCTCTGAAGTTCCTCGTCTCAGCCTTTGGAAACCGTATTTGAATCTTGCAATGCTCTACGCAACGCATGAGCAGCCACAGAAAGCTATAGAGTTCGCACTGAAAACTCTGGAATCGCTGGGCTACGTTGTTGAAGGCGGGCACCTTCCCCATACCTCGGGTACACCACTGCTGGTCAAGAAATGGGGATTAATGACGGATGGTCTTGTCGGGTGTTGGATGAGCCTTTCCCGCGCTTATCGACTGGTAGCCCCTGACCTAGTACTGAAAGCGGAAGGGTATGCTAGGATTACATATAGGATCTGTGTCGGCGAAGACGAAACGTTTGACGAGACCTACACGCAGCTATCGGAGCGATCAGATGGTTTTCTTGCCTAGGCAAACATGTCTGAAAGACTGGGGGCCCCTTGTGACCTTGCCAACTAATGGTCCTCCAGATTTTAGCTCAGTAGGATTACCTAATGACGGTCATACTCAAGGGATGTCAATATGAATCAATGACCCAGCTTTTCGAAATAAACATACCGATGACTGTAAGTCCAATTCTGCCAGTTTCTGTAGAGCAAAGCTACCAGTCGCACGGCGTTAATCCTTGCTCAATGATTACTCGGGTTTGCCCGGAGTGGTGGAGACTCAAGTGCACCTGCAGGAAGGGCTCGAGACTCCAGAGGATAGCATCAGAAGAAAAATCGAGATGGAAATTCCTGTTCGCAATGGATGATCCCTTTCGCATACTCTCCCAGTATAAGGAACCGCACAATCCTCTGACGGAAAAAATCAACTTTATATTGAAGGTCCTGTTCTTGTGACAAGGATACGGGCGTTTGGATCCCCCGATCTAACCTGAATTTCTGTAATTGGGTTGCGAGGCACATTATGGTGAACAGGAGGCCCAGCCATATAACTGGCGTTTCCGATGCGATTTTCCAGAATCTTTCATGCTGTATTTACCTGTCAGTCGCGAGCATGTTAGTTGGGAAGAGGTTCCAATACCTCCTTCAAAAACTCAACACTGTGCAGTACCGCTTGATATTTCATCAGTCCAAAGCTTATTAGTCATGTCGGGAGTGTGCTTACCTGGGGACATATCGAACGAGTTGACATAGTCTGAAATCAATCGATCAACAACCGGCCGTTCTGGAATTGTCGCCAGGATTGATGTCTATCGTGGAAAGGAACTCATCTTAGGGTTCTTTTGTGCACCGATGGACAAATCCCAAAAGCGGCCGCCATGCCCGCCGCTAAAAGAGGAAGTGGATCATATCAGAGTGGCAAAGAATGGCCTAGTTCATAAATAGAGAGTAGTAGACCAGCTTAAATTATCTATAGGGTAAGAAGTCCCTTTATATGCAGATTACGCAGAAATTACTTAGCAATAGGATAGAGCTCTAACTGCCCTGTCAGCTATAGTAGTGATATCTCCTAAATAGATATAGAAAAGTACTGTCTGCTTTTATTATAGCCCGGATGCAATCCATATGCTAGTCTAAGTGGATTTTACTAATAATTAGCATCCAAATATGAACAAACAGGAAATAGCAAGACTTGATAGTATTAATTTCAGAATAGCTACCCAGTACTATTATAGTATCCCTTAGAATATGCTCATAGTTGCTCCGCACCAACAGACTGCACAAGGACCACATATCTAAATCAAGGTATAAAGCTTAATAGTAGACGCAGGTTCAAATGATGCAAAGATAGATGCTGGCAGCTCAATAGATCAGCTATAGAAATTACACATTATATTTCAGTTAATCCATGCAAGACATGCTCCTCCAGTTCGCAAACCTAGCTTTGCAAGTTGCTGATTTCGTCTGCATGGCTGGGTGGTGAGGGACCTCAGTAAGTGCAGATTCTAGCCATTCTAGTTATGAGGGAACTGTCAGTGATGCATAATTATATATATTTTGCCCGGGAGGCTTCCAAGTTAATGACCGACTTCATACACAAGCTGCAGCTGGGGATAGATTTATCACAACGTCGCTTATTTCTTTTGCACGAAGCACATGCATGGGTAGCACCAAGGCCCAGGCCACCTGTATCATCATCATCTTCCATATCGTTTGGATTTCAAGGGAAAGGAAAAATCGCGCAACTTGGTCTACCATGAAGTGGCGATGCATGAGGAGCGGACAACCCGGCCGCTGCGTAGCGGAAGCTCTTGTCTGCGTGTGCTCACTTAACTATGCGGCCGCAGGTGGGGACTGGTGTAAAGTCAGGATAACCTCGTTGTCCACAGGTGCATATAGTTGTGCGGCCGCAGAGTGGGGACTGGTGTAAGTCAGGATAACCTCGTTGTCCACAGGTGCATATAGTTGTGCGGCCGCAGAGTGGGGACTGGTATCCGTTCAAGAAAATCTTCCAACCAATTAATGTAGGAGGCAGATTTCTCCACGCCTAGCTGACAGTGTATTATGACAATTTGCTAACTGTTTACAGCTAACTTAACCACTAGTTGATGTATCATCGTCTCAGTAGGCATTCTGTTTGACCTACCCAACGCCTACTTATAAAGCGTGCCTGAGCCTACTTATAACATGCGATCCATTTAGTATCTGAATTGGACATCATCATAATGTCCGGCCTTGCCATAAACCCCCGGGGCGTGCAGTTTAATCCTGATACAGATATTCCTAACCTTGACGGCAAGATCATTTTCGTTACTGGAGGTATGTTAATTTGCTGACCGGCCAAACTACATGATACATCTGACAGTACTAGGTACGGGGGGTATTGGCAAGACCACAATACTCAGCCTTGCTAAGCACAAGCCTGGTCACATTGTCTTTACTGGCCGCAATGCCAGAAGGGCTGACGAAGTGATTAACGAAGTTCACAAGACCTCTCCAGGGGTACTTATAACATTTTTGGAGTGCGATCTATCTTCGTTTCAATCTGTTGAATTCGCTGCCAAAAGATTTCTGGCCGACTTTGACATACTCGACATCCTTTTTGCCAATGCTGGCATCATGGCAGTCCCTCCAGGCCTCACCAAGGACGGCTATGAGGTGCAGTTTGGCACCAACCACATGGGCCATGCCCTGTTGCTAAAATACCTGCTGCCACTCATGGCCAAGACGGCTAGCATTGGTCGCGATGTGCGTCTCGTAACTACCACCTCAAGCGCCTTCCAGGGCGCATCCGGGATTGCATATGACACTATCAAGACACCGCAAAAAGGAATCTTCGGTCATTTTCGGCGTTACATACAGAGCAAGCTGGCCAACACCCTGTACACGCAAAAAATAGCCGAGCTCTACCCGGAGATCATGTCGTGCTCCGTCCAGCCAGGTGCCGTTGCTACTGACATCGGCGGTAACCACCTAGGTATGCTGGACAAGGTTTTCATAGCAATCAACACGCGGGGGAAATCCCTCACTCCCGACGAAGGGGCGTACAATATGTGCTGGGTTGCCACTACTAAGCGTGAAAACCTCACAAATGGCGCTTACTATGAGCCAGTTGGCTGGCCTGGAACCATGACGAAAATTTCTCAGGATGAAGCAGCGCGGAATCAACTTTGGGAGTGGACCCAGAAAGAGTTGGAAAAGTATAAGATATAGGACAATTGTGTTTAGCATAGGCGTCTTCTCGTCACCTTGTATTTGTACGCGCAGAGTAACGAGAGTGTTCAAGTCTAGTTCGTCAAACTATGGGAAAGTCAGTTAATGGACAATGTGTGAATGTTCCGTTCATTGAAATGATCCATAGGGTCTTTTTATAGAAGAAAGCTGTACCTTGTATCCAGAACTGGGTCCTGGAGACGGTGTGCTGAATAGTATCAGATATCTTCCCGAATGGGACATTGTGGCTGTTAGGATAGTCCCGTAATGGTGGCGCATCTCAATCTGCCAGAGAAATACCTGAGCATTGTTCCCGGTTTCATGGACATTGATCCCCTCTTGAGTCGTCCCACTTTATGGCACGGCGACTTTTACTCGTCCAACATTATCGTTGATGACAATCGTATTACTGCAGTTATTGATTGGCAAGGCTCATGGACCGGTCCACTTCTACTTCAAGCACAACTATCTCCGCTAGTCGATTATCAAGGTCACATCCTACTTAATTGTCCAGGAATTTTTTGGCAACCTTGATTTTGAGTAACAAGTTCAAATTAAGCGACAGACTTTTCTTGATGGAGACAGAGAGAAGGAACCCTATGCTTGGAAGAGCATTTGATCTAAACCCGGGAAAACACGGCGTCTTGCCGTCGAAATGGCTGGGAATACTTGGGACGATGAAAATGTGCCCTTCCCGGAGGCCCTCAACGTTGAGAAATAGGGCTCTGCAAACCACGTAGCACCGACGAGGGCTAACCATACACATAGGCACTGGCAAGAGATGGGGATCATGGTTAATTGCCCTTATCACTTCACTTCACCGAGGAAGAGTTAAAAAGCCATACTGTAGACGTGGAGGCCTGGAATGAGGTTCAAGGCTTTTCCGATGGCATTGAGGGCCTTGCGAAAAAGGACGGCTGGACCCATCCCGAAACATTCGATGCTGCCTTTAATTTCTTCTCTGACCTCCGGAAATTAGGCCTCAAGCGCATGAAAGGCCGACAAAAAGAGATTTTTGACAAAAAGACCCGCTGGGTGACAAGTCAAAATTAAGATTGTAAAGCTACGTAAGTAAATAGTATTACAGGGTTGACTAATTTCGAGCTTACAGAGGGGAACCCACTAAAATAGTCTACCTGTACATTCTTTTATGCTTGCGAAGATAAACAGGTTTTTAATATTAATCATATTTAGTTGTTAAATTAGAAAGTCTCAGAACAATGCCTTCATCTTTGTCTAGATAGTGCAATCAAGGGTTGTGTGACGCGTTTGAAGCATACAAAGTTTCTTTCCGTCAGCTGCGCAAGTGCAAATACCTCGGCACTTTATCATGAGTATTTCAACTATTATAGGGAGTCCATTACAAAGTGCAGTGGTCTAGGCCCATCCTGGAAAGACTGGAGCCGTTTGCGGATAATAAGCGAGAGTTCGTCTGTGAAGATCCATGCCATTGAATTAAAGTTAACGTTCATTCTTGGCGTAGAATTGACGCAAGCTATGGTTGTTAATTTTGATTTGCACAAGCTGACTCTTTTCTGCTAGAGTGCCCGACACAACCAGCGCTTCTGGCAGTACACAATACTGGTGCAACGCATTGATGATAGAGCTCCACAGTAAGACTCCGGTTCCCCAATGGCATTGCAGTGCTATATGATTACTCCTGGAGAGTATTGTCAATTCTTGGAGCCTGCCGACCTAGTTATCGAAAGTATCATGATGAAATGTCTTGTGACTCTACTGAGACGTCATGCATTCCACAGTGCCACCCAGATGCGAATCAGGCCGCATGAGCTCCGGCCGTGAGTATGTCGATAGGATTAGCGATTTTTGATATCTCTGTAACCATGGGTTTTTCTCATATATACAGTGTAGTTCCTTAATGTAGCTACTAGATATGTGAAGCACTGGTTCTCAACAAATAGGAATTAATAAACATACAATCCACTTACTCCTGCATTCTGTTCCAAGGACAGTCACTACGGTCCCACCCTGCTCTACTTATAACTTTATTGCCCTAACTGCTTCATCCAAACGTGCCCGCAAGCTCTCAGCTACCATACATCTCCCCACAGCGCCGATCCTTCGCTATAGCTGCCATCATCGTCTCCCCAACACAAGCAATGCCGAATATGATACCTGACTACGAGATCAGGCTCCTACTCAACCCAACCCTAGTGCTCAGTCCCGAAAACGAGCTAACGGACACCGTCCAATCGACCTTTGGTATATCCCCATCAGAGCCGACTAAGTTGGACGTCCAGTTCCTCGACACGAACTCTAAGGAGCTCTATACCGCTGGCTGGAGCGCTCGCATCCGCAAGATCGACACAGAGGACCACATCGAGCTGACGTATAAAAAGCGGTATGAGATCACCGGCGGTGACATTGACGCCGCTCTCGCTGCGGCTAATAATGATGGCTTCAATGTTGGCAATACAAAGTATGAGGCGCAAGTTGAATGGGGTTACCAGAAGCAAACACTTTCTATCAGCCGCAAGAAACCTAGAGCGAATTCTGAGAATAGCGGAACGGGCCTGCCAGGAATACACGACTCGCGTGAAATGCTGATTAACGAAGCCCCAGGCAAGTTTGACAACTGGAAGCCTAACAAATGGGGCACCACCATGTTAGCGGCATCGCGCATTTTCGGCCCAGTCCATGCCAGCCGCTCCACTGGCTCGTGGAATGGGATGCAGGTATACCTTGAGGTCTGGCCCCTCGTGGGCTTAGCGGGTAAGGGGATTGAGTACATCGTTGAGATTTCTTTCAAGACGGAGAGCCGCAAGACAGCCGCGATCGAGCAGGGGAACTTGGCCGCATTTCTGCAGTGCAAGGGTTGGCTTCTCAAAAAGGACTCGCTAAAGACGCAGCTTATAATGGAGCGATATTGATATCGATAGTCATTGGACCCACGGGTGGTTCTTGATCTGGCTTCGGCAATAGAGGGTCTTGAAGGAAAAGCATGGATCGTTGGCTGTAGGTTAGGCACCACAGCCATATTTCATTATGGTGGGCACAAAGGGAAACTGTCATGGAATGTAGGCAGATACCCAACGTGGGTTTCTTTTGTCTGAGTTCTTTCTTTGTTATCAGTAACAGTATGCTGGAAGTGTTGGTTCTAATTCATTTATTCCCACTTTCAGTTTAGCTACTCTGTAGCGAGCAAGTGTCAAAGAATATTATTTGTCTTAAAAAATTGTCTAAGGTGCTGGAATAGAGCCTAAGACCATAATATGGGAGCTGCACAACGCATACAGAATTCAATCAGATAGTACAAAGTTTAGGGACTACTGTACCTGCTCAGCTAATCATTCAATTTATGCTCCAGATTTCAGATGGTAGATTCCTTGATTCCATTGTCGCAGCAATATGTTCATCGCTCCAGATTTACCGCTTTGTAGGGGTCTAAAGACGAGTCACTGCTGCTAATCAATATTTTGATGAGAATTTGCCCACGAATGTATCCAGATACCCGGCTATTCCACTCTCGTTCTGTCTCCCAAGCGAGCTTGTGACGGAGAAAGCTGAGTCCGTCTGCGTGATGCTCTCACAGTGTCATATACTAAATACCCGGATGGACTGCTTGCCGCATCACAATCTACATAATCTCTCATGGCATCCAGCGGAATTCCTGTCCAGTTTCTATGTGCATATAATGTGCGACTATTTTCTGATGCAAGACTACCAATGCTGAGGGAAATCTGCGAACGCAGTAAAACTTTAATCTGATATGTACACGAGCAAAGCAGCCGCGTAACTAGATTAGAGTCAGAAACATGCGCTTCTACAAAAAGTGGACCACTTACGTCGATGCAGCAATCATAATCTCATGCTCACGACAATCCGTTGTCATCGCCATGATAGCCGCTGCGGCAGCGGTGCATACAACAATGACAACCAGCATTTTCCGTTTTTCTTCCATGTAGGAAAGAACAATGATCGGTGTCAGAAGGATTAGGAATGTGAGCATAGTAATAATTGCCCGGAAGGTGGTCTGGATCATGTTATCGTCGAAGATATACAGGGTCCCTTGCTGGGGAATCTCTACTCTCCTGCCCCCTGCTGCTGTCTACGAGAATTGTCAACTATGGCGGGTATCAATCATGCCGTGTTCGTCGGGTATCCTACTCACGGTGGTGAAAAGGCGCCATGTTAGACGCTCTACAAGCCTGTACATCCGGTTCCTTGGGATTCGATCTCGATCCAGGGACACAAAGTCAGCTTCATCGGCATCACTCGCGGTGAGTAGTCGACGTATTGGAGTATCGCCCTTTGCCACATTAACTATATACTGGCGTAGATCCGATATAGAAGTATCCTCGGCTCTATGAAGCCCTGTAAGCTGCGAATACTGTAGAAGGGCTGCATCTGGAAGAACATTAGACCACATCGCACCACTATAGAACTGAAAAGCAACCAGAGAGATCGTGACTGACTGTATTGATGCAGTTGCTTGGCTATTAACTCGCTTGTCGAAACAGCGTCAGAGTCGCCGGCCGCCTTAGCCTGGACCAACTTCTGTTCCAACTGGAAAATCCCGGCCTGCATCTTGAGAAGCACCTGAAGGTTCAACTTCGAAAATCGCCGAAAGACCAAGAACGACTTGTCTTGGCTCATAAATGCTGCGAGTATCTTATAAACGTCATCGTCATCAGTCTGGCTGATCAACGGGGACGCAGGCTGCGCCTGTGGACGAATATCATGCCCACCATTTCCGCCCAGTGGCCCATTGACTGGCAAGGCTGCTGGTGGCTTCGAGCTCGGTGTCCCGCCGTTATCTCCAGAAGCAACAGGCAGAATTGGCCCGGAAGAAGGTATGTCCGTCGCGAGAACTGTTGGGCCATAGCTGGTTCGTGCGCCGTAGGTACGACCCCTGCGACGAAGGGCTGATTGTGTGCTTCCATGCGTCAAACAATGAGCTTCAAACTCGGTCCTTCACGTAGTCAGCAAGGCCGCTCTAATCATGTGTGTATGGCCGGCGGGGCTCTTCTACTCGTCCCGAAATGTCCGATGAGGACAATGATGGCAGACCAGATTGTCTGACATGGTGCTATTTTGACGGCTGCTATTGTTGCTACCGGGAGGTTAGAGAAGGTTCCAAACTAGGAGGCTGCTTTGGATTGTTAAAGACTCGTGTTGTTTCAAGATGGTTGGGCTCATTCTCAGCCGCGCTCGTATATACCCTGTTGCTAGTCAGCCTTGGGTCAATGTTGCTGCAGGCACAGCCACCCTCTCTTGAAGTACTTGAATGACTCCGTCGAACCCCGCTCCTTGGCTCTACAAACATGTCAGCATCTATATTCTGCCCAAGATAATGGAGTGCGCACATTGCCAGAAGACGTTCCAGGAAAGGTATGTCCGTAATGCCAACAGACAGGCTTGTAACATACTTATCTTCTATCGCAGTGCCTCCTTCGATGAACATTGCAAAGAGCATAAGGAAATTCAACGTAAGCTTCAGCGCCCAGCAACACGAACGTATGGAGCCCGTTACGTGCCGAGTCAACATGCACTGCTTCAGGATTCAACGAAGAAACCGTCCTCTAGGGCGTCGGATCACAACGAGGATCGGGAACAGGAAGCCCCTCATGCGGAAGAGAGCGAAGATAATATTGTACCGGGCTTAGACCCACGGATTAAGTTCATCATGGAGCATTTTGCGTCGTATGATGTAACTGGTATGACAGAAGACAGCCCTTCAGACCGCGAATACTCGTGCCCTGACTGTGACTTCAAATTCCGGACTTTGTAGGTATCTGATGAGAGATCATATGTTGAAGTGATACTCACTCTTCCCCTTGTAGGAAAGATCGCGACGAACATCGCTTATCGCGGTTCTGCCAGGGATGTCACGTCAAGGTCTTTGTAATGGTAAATGATCAGTGGGTTCTACTCCTAGCAGAAAGCCAATACGTCTCATTTCATCTTCTACTGACACTGTCCAGCTCCAAGCCCACTGGATATAAAATTGAAAATTTGCTACTCCCTTTCGACTGGAAACTTTACAGATGGGACAGTGCTTGCAAAAAGTGTGGAAAATGCTTTCCATCGGACGCGGATATGAAACAGCACGAGCTCACACGTACGTGCCTCAAGCAAGAAATGAAGACGCACCCTGATCTGCAGAGTTAACATGATCATCAGATCTGATCATGCCGTCGAGATGCCTTCATTGTAGTAAAGTCTTCAGCTCGCAGTACGTTCCCCAAACTTACTGCGACGTCAGTGTTTAACGTTTCCCCAAGCTATGAATTAGAAGACCACTACGAGTGGCATGATGATATGGAGTACCGCAACCATCGGGACAACGCTCTCAGGAGTGCCGCTTCCATTGAAACAGAAAGAGACTATGGTCTGACTCTGTACTGACCTTTCAAAGCTTCGCTGACCATGTCATGGTAGTCGAGATTCATATACCGAATAAGACAACCGATCTCGGCCACGGGATTCTGCATTGTCCCGATCCTACTCCTGCTATCCCACCCCGTGGCGACCGCCAGATTGTGGGATTCAGTTTCATAAGCGCCGAGGACATTGAACGGGGTATTTAATCCCTATATATTGTGAGCTGGATACAACGTGTCTGACTAACATGCGTAGATTACGCTCCCGAAGGAAAGTTCACGATTCCAGACGGTGGTTACCTGTCAGTGCCTCCATGGGTGTCTGATAGCATGATGACCGAGGCAATGGAGAGTAAGTATGGTACGATTGAACCAATCGGATACTGTTGTTTAATATACGCATCATAGAACTGCATTTGGAGCGCGAGAAGCAAGATAAAACACGCATTCCACTAAAGACGGCCGAAGACAAAGAACACCCTCCAGTTGTTAGAGTAAAAGGTCACGGCATACCTGGAGCAGTGCAGGTTACGGATACGTCGGGCAGAGTCAGATGGCTACGAGGCGAAGGAATTGGTGAGCTTGTGAGGATGATCCTTACAGACAATAATGAATATGATAGCTATATGGAAAAAGCAATCGATTTACAACGGAACAGCGACATCAAAGGGGCCTTGCACTTTTACCTTGTGGCATTGAACGAGGCATCGCCAAAACCCAGAACTGTAAAGGACATGGATGAATACCTTACATTAACAAGCATCGCAGCTTGCTATACCATGCTGCATGATTTCGACAACACAGTTGACTACAACATTCGCGCACTCCACCTGGCGGAAAGGCTCCTTGGCAAAGACAACCTAAACATCTTTTTAAGGATCAATGACCTTGCGGTGGCCTACGAGGAACATGGAATGCTTCAGGACGCTCACAATCTCTATGCTCGTTCCTTATCTGGCAAAATGAAAAGACTCGGAGAAGGTGACGCGAGCACTCTGATGACAATGCAGGAATTAGGAAGCATAAAACGTCGTCTAAACCATCTCCTGGAGTCCCGAATCCTGCTCGAGAGGGCATATCTCGGATACGAGAACCTGCAAGAGCCAAACGAAGAGATGGCATACGGCACTCTCTGCAATATCGCTGCTGTATACAAACAAATGGGTCTGGTTGATCAAGCAAAGGAACTTCTTCAACAGACGATTCCCCGTATGCGACAGGTACTAGGTCTGGCAAACAAAATCACGATTGGCTCGATTTACAATTTCCTCCTCATGGAACAGACTTGCATTCCGTCTGAAATACTTACAATGATACAAGAGATCCAGGAGAAGCGGTACGAAACTGGCCGGCTCGTTTTGGAGTGGCTCGCGCGGCATTATTATGACACGCATCAGATTCGAAGGGCAGTGGGACTGATAGAAACGCTTGCTGAATGGGAGGGACTGGATCTGGACCAATCTGTGTCCTATCTCAGTCTAGCTGGAGCTTGTTACTTGCTTCTGGATGACCTTGATGAGTCCTGCAAGATGTATGAATTGATGTACGAAAGAGCTGCACTCGCCATCGAGGCACAGAGGCAGGCTCTTCGCGCTCATGCCAGAATGTGTATCCGGGATATTCGCACAAGACAGCAGCAGCTCTTGGATGAGAGAGCGGCATGGGGACTGAATGAACCGCGGCTGTGTGTATGCGGAAAGGAAACCATGCGATTGTGTCCAGGCAAGTGCGACCTCTGCTCCCATCAGATTCCCCATCAACTAACCGAATTCCTGTCTGTCATGTATAGTCTGCGGGCTTCTACACTTCTGCACGCCAGGATGCGAAAAGAGCCACCCTCATGAATGCCGTCCAACTGTCACACCCACGCAACAACGCAGGGGAATCTCAGAACCCGGTTCCGTACGCAGCTTAGAAGAGCATATGTTGAGGCTCTTCGCACAGGACCCAATGTTCGTCAGAAAGCCGAAACCCTTGACAACAAAACAAATCTTCCTGGATCCTGAGGGCTTCGCAACCTTCCGAATCTGGATGGACCCTACCAAGCTCGTTTCGTTCAGCTTCATTCCATCAGCTGATCTTCAATGCTGGATAGTAGAGCCAGACGGAACAAAAGTGGTCTGGAGTGTCCAGGAGAATTGTTCCGATTGCTATTTCTACAAGGATATGGGGGACAGGTATCTGGTTATTGCACCGGGCGCTGAGTTGATGGGTAGGATTGTTGGGGATTATCAACGGGATACTGGGATGTATAAAGACGCGCGGATGCAGGTTCCAGATAAAGATCTTCAAGAATACTTACAGGTCACTCAGGGCCGTGGTGGAGGGACAGCAAGGTTGGCGGTTGTTATGGTTCTATGGGAGCAGTGAGACTTTTGGATATACCTTCTTTGCTTTCCTGAGCAACGGCGGTGATGACCGTGGGTCCTAATTGGTTAGCAGTCAAGTGCCTTATCGAGAAGACGCTGCTATGCGAGTACCATACACTGGAGGATCATCATCCTAATGGGAGACAATATAACGAAAGTATCAGGACTGAATTTAACTTCCATTCATCCCGGTCTTGCACGAAAGCTTTAACCGTCAGCCATGGACCCATTCTGAATCTGGGCCACCACCCCAGCCTACAGTGTGGCTTTGAATTGCATATAAATGTTGGGCCTGAAGAACCGACCAAGCTGAGGGAGCATATATAGAATTCAGAAAAGCACCCCGAACAGCTGGGGATGCGTAGTGGAGTTGGGATGCCTAGGTATTCCTTTGGTAGGTTCGGTTCTGGTGGACGTGCCTCATACATGCCTGGGCATTCACCTACGGAGATATGTTGGTGAACAGTCAAGCTGTCATGAAGTTGCTTGATAAGGAGGTGAATGAAAATGTCAGGCAGTTGGGGTCAACCCCACCTGTAAGTGATTACCACTGTTTTTCACCCAAGTCTCCTTGGTTGTTAGCATCGTTTTACTGAAATCGCAAGTTTCTCGCCCCTTCCGTTGGCCCTCCCCGATGCTCCCCGCAATAAGCCCAGCAATGTGTCCGTCATGACGGAGCAGACGCAGGGCCTTATCCTAGTAAAAATCTTGGCGACAAGCCTTTGGGACAGAGGAAGGTGGAGTCGCGACCCAACCTGAACAGGGCCTTATCCCGATAAAGTGGCTCGGTCCGACCGCCCCACTGGGGTGCTTGATGTATGGCTGGAGCGCACAGTATATCATACACTGGACAGTGCCAATAATCAGGACTTTTATTATCGGCTTTGGATCCTTATTCGTCGTCGTCCCAGGCCAGATCTATCTTGTCGATGCCTTTGGGGCGGCAGCGGCGGCGTCGGCCCTCGCGGCCAACCTCCTCACCCGATTCCCTTTTGGTGCTTTTTTAGATCTTGCTGCCGCGTCTCTGGGACCGGGATGGGGAACTAGTGTGCTGGGCTTCGTCCCGCTGCCGTTGATTGCCAGTGTCGTGGTCGTTTTACCCCTTTGGCGAAGCTTTGAGGACTCGTTTTGTGAGGACTCGTTTTGTGCTTGACAAGTCCATGTAGTGAGAATGTTCACTCTCCTTTGACTAATTGATGCAATAGAAAATATCACGAGACATATTGTCCTTGCGAATGTCTCAGATTGTGTAATCAGCATGTGTTGTTGTAGCAGAACTGGTTGGTTTCTTGCTCCTATGCACTTACTGGCCTGGATTGCACAAATATTCTACGGTTACGAAGTCCCCACCAAAGACTATCTCTACTTTATTACACTGGCAAATTACCTTCCACATTTGCCGTCCATTATGCCCTTAGCCAAGAGGGTATTCCCGGTCGTCGATAGAGTCTGAGCAAAGTACACTGGGTATACCAGGTACAAAGTGGCTCGACAGGAAGGCGCATAAATTAAAGTAAAGCTCATCCCGATGGACAAGCGTCATTTGCATTTTCCTGGAGTTTCAAACTATCGCTTGGAGGAAGTCCAGCAAATATCTCTGTGGATAGGGATAGCCATGGCTTAGTCCTTGGCAGGGTCCCGTGTTCGTTTTGCTTTACCACATTGGGACGCCGACAAGTGGGAATTTAGGGTTGGAGTTTCAATTGTTGATTAGTTACTCTGCCATTTAGATTAATGATAATAATTTCCCTGCATATATAAACAGTGGACATCACTGACAGTCGGGCTCTTTGTAAAGCAAGCTTGCCTGACCAAAAGGAACCAAAAGCTATGGATACTATCCTTTCAAACTACTACGACAAGACCCCTAGACCATTTCACGCCGGTGCACTGACCGCGTACAATGATCAAGGAGATGTAATTTGTTCCAGCATTCAGGGCACCCAGACCGCGGATCCTGTTGGTCCTACAGTCACTGAAGATTCAATCTTCTGGGTCGCGTCCTTGACCAAAATCGTTACGGCCGTCGCTGTGATGATTGTCGTTGAGCGAGGCTTGATTTCACTCGATGATGATGTGGGCCAGGTGGTGCCGGAGTTGGCGGCGCCAGAGGTCCTGACTGGATTCGATGAAGATGGTAGTGTCTTTGGCGGGGATTCCCGTTGTCTGATGGAATCACCATTGCTGACAATCTTCCTCCTAGGAAAACCCATCGTGTACCGTACGGAGAAGAAGCTCACGTTGCGTCATCTTCTGACGCATACAAGCGGCTTCACGTTTAGCCTGATAAGCCAGAATCTGCAGAAGTGGGCCGCGTATCATGGGAGAAACATCGACCACACACAGGGAACTTATGTACTTCGCTCCCTTTCTGCAAATTCCGCTGATAGACGATCTGACCAAAACTGTCTCCTGACTGTAGGAGTCAATAACCTACCCACTTATCTTCGAACCCGGCGAGGACTGGAGATACGGACCCGGAGTGGACTGGGCAGGGCGAGTGGTAGGTCTCTGGCCGCAATTGGATTCAGCACCGCATCTAACCAGGGCACATGCAGGTCGAAGTCCTCTCCGGGAAGAGACTCGGGGAATTTATTCACGAGAACATCTGCGTACCATTGGATCTCCAATCTACCACCTTCCACCCGGAGACACTGCCCGACTTCGAGAAGAGAAAAGTGGAGACAGCCGTCCGCAACGGAGACGGTTCTCTAACTCCAACCAAAGAGATATTCCCCATTCCTACGCCGGACGACCTCGGCGGTGGGTCACTGTATTCCACACCGCGCGAGTTCACCAAGTTCCTTTCAGCTGTTCTGGCTGGTGGTCGGGGACTCATCAAAACCGAAAGCGTGGATGAGATCTTTCGGCCTCAGCTGCCGGAAGCTGTGAGGATAAGGTTGAACCATCAGATTAATATGCCAGAAGCGCGAGCAATGAAATGGTGTTTCACGACAGGTGATCAAGTCGACTTCGGGCTGGCCGTCGCAGTAACGGTCGGTGATGTTCCAGATGGTCGTGCAAATGGCACCGTCTCGTGGGGAGGGCATACCAATACTCATTTTGTAGGTGGCTTTCTGGTCTACTAGTTGAAAGAAGGGTGAACACTGACGAGACGGATAATACCAGTGGATCGATCGGAAGACGGGGATATGTGCGACGAGCTTCTTCCAACACCTTCCTCCATCGGATCCCCAGGTGATTGCGCTCCGGGATGAGTTTGAGACGGAGCTGTATAGGCAGATACGGCATACAAAGTAGTGAGCTATGGATGTCACTTTACCATGACGATTCATCTCGATAGGGCTGCGCTACGCATTAGCCTGTGCTACAGTGGTCTACTTATGAGGATGCCTGTTTCCAGATAATGTAACTAACAAGATGAAAACATTCTGTAAGTCTGCCAGCTTGAAGAGCAATCAAAACTAATCTCTTTGAGCCAGTTGATTTTTTCCTGGGGCAGTTAAAAGCCCTTAGCATATAGCCCTAATCCATATATAGCTTCTTGCTTCAAAGCGTGCAATACACTTTCTGGTATTGAAGACAGCCGACATTGACGGCCCGGATACATGACTGGTTGACTTAGCTGATATGAGATGGAACTAATGAACCATATCCGGACAGCAGCATCATGAGCGTCTTTGAATCCACGGATCATGCCGCGGCTATAGGCTCGCTCTTACTTTTTGTCGCAAATAGTATGGTTGCAATTAAGCACATAAGGGGATCAGAGACTGATCGTGGTCTCTTATCGACAATGCAACGTAGACTTGAGAGCTCGACTCTCCAGCAACCGCACAGTAGGACGATGCAATGTTGAGAAATCGTCGTACCGCATTTCGAATTTTGTGGAAACCAGGCGCAGGGAGGTGGGTCTCTTAGACCAGGACATGATGATGCTATTTTGGCGAGTACATCGCTTGAACTGGGGCTTCCTTCTGGTGGCTCTCACCTCCCTACAAATTCGATTATGACCTTTAAGCATACCGATCCTATCCGATGATAGGTGTCTTCTTTTTCATGGTCATCGGAAAAAGAATGAGGGTCTACTTCTCCCTACAGAGTAGCAACAGTCTTCATGCTTGTGGGAGTATTAGTCAACTTCATATGTAGGGTTAGGGTCACTCCCCCATACTCAGCTTAGTAGAGAGCAGCTGGTTCCTTTCTATTTCTTTCATTGAAAACATCGACATACACATACACTGCATTTGCTCTTTTAATTTACTTTCTCTTTTCTTCCATCGCTTCCGGCATCACTCTTTCTTCCTCTTTCATCTTGGCTTCCACATCTCATGTAAACATCACACATCGAAAACAACCCGGAATCACAACAGCACCCGGCCTGCTGGCCGCTGATACTGTATCCACATCTTATTTAACCAAATCATGAGAACGGTCCAGCCTCAAGAAGGAGAGTAGTCGGCCGATTCCAGAACTCGACCCCTGCATTTCTTCCTCGGCATATGCTTTGCGGTATACCTGTCATTTGTAGTTCTCTCAAAGGCATGGTTTTGATGATCTAATATAGAATCAGTTGGCTCTGGCAGAGATCTTCATGCTTCGAGTTGATATGGGGTCCAAATGACGTTACGACGAGTCGCGACCGGTCAGTAGGCATATCACTTACAGGTAACCGACGAATAGTCTAATAACTACATCAAGATGCACATATTCTTCTAAAGTCTCGACTGCCGAGCGTGCGGCGAAGATGGTGCCGAATACGCTGGGAATACGAGATCCAATACCGATTATCGTTCACACTCTGGATGGAGGGATTCAGTGCGAGATCCCCACTGCGGTCCAGCCATGTCCGGTGATAGACATATCAGTACTTATCCAGAGATGGCACTATCTTGAGGAAGCTGGAATTGCTTAAAGGAATAATCTGCTGCGCGGCCATAAAGGGTATACTGTATCATATGAGAGGTATGGTAGTATATCTGATTTCGGATATCGCTGTACGAGAATATAGAATAGTAGGGATAGTAGGGATAGTAGAGGGCCATAATTGGCAAGCCAAAACCTGAGAAATACGACAACATCCCTTCGAATAGGGTATTTGAAGATCAGATCTTGTATCTGGCAATACCTTACAGTGGTGATCTGCAGACTAACCTCCACCAATCTGCAACACAAGAAGACTGGCGTTGATGATTTAAGCTCAAGGCTTATATCGTCTTAGATGCTATTTTTAGAGTATACCCTGCTGCTTAACGCCTAGTGGCTTCCTACCCCATGTGATGGCCATGAACACGAACTTTACGAGCCATGTCACTTACAGGATCTTAGTTGATGTAATGCTTCTAAACTTGGCTTTAATACGATATTCGGCCCCAGACCTGGACGCTGAATTAGCGAACACAAGAGTGATGTTTGGACTCTGTGGCCATTATTGGCAAGATCAACATGAAAGTATCTCAGAAATACTGCGACAACACGAGATGGATGACTATAATTGGCAAGGCCGACAATAGACCAGCTGAGAAACACGAGAATTCCTTGCCTCCTTGAGAGCGATCGTGATGCATTTCATCTGTGCCCGAGAAAGAAGCCATGGTGATTACGGTCAGGTCGCATCTATATAAACCCCTTCAAGACCTGGCTTGATACGATAAATCAAACAACTTTAATAGCCATTCCAAGAAACAAGAATCAACTACAACTCTACTACTTCAAATTCTTAACCTAAGGAACACACATCTTGAAAATGCAGTTCTCCAAGATCTCCGCTGTTATTTTGACCGTCCTCGCTGCTGGTGTCACTGCAGCTCCGTTCGCTGAGGCCGACACTGCCCCAGCTGTCCGCGAAGAGGCTGCTCCTGGCCAGCCGGAGTGGCCGGATGAACACCCGGCAATCTCTAAGCGCGGATTTGGATGTCCTGGTGATCGCTATCAATGCAGCGAACATGTATGTTACATCATGGCTTTATACCACTTTCCCTGGCCTCATGCTAACATCGAGCGCAGTGCAGGAGCTTGGGCGGTGGACGCACTGGTGGCTACTGTGGTGGGCACTGGTGGCTAGGACACCCGTGAGTTAACTGTTCTTTCATGATCTCAGGCGACCTTAGCTAATAGCGAGCAGTACCTGCATCTGCACCTTTTAAGGCTTTTGCCCTCAAACCACTGTCTGACTGCAGGATGGGTCTTCTACAGGACCGAGCGCTACATCAGGCTTTGAGGGGGGGGAGGCATTGTAGCGGGGAAACATGGCTGTATTCTTTTCTTTTGTTTTGCAGTTTGCTTACTACTCGTGCCTATCTCAGGGTTCAACCCTCCGGGGTGGCATCGTTGCGAAGGTAGAGGGGGTTTCTCCTCTTACCATGCTGTTCTTAGCTACTACTTGCAATTGCTGGTTTGATTCGAATGATATTGATTTCTTTGAGGCTATCTTTCCCCTACGCGAACCGATGTCCAGTTCGGACACGACCTCGCTCATGACTCCTACCTGCGGCCTAGCTTGATCTACTCTTCGGAGTGCTGTGTTGTATTCCTCGTACATTTGGTGATGGCTGTTTGATGAGGTATGTGGGCGCCTGAAGTGTCAGCGCTCACTACTGGATAGTGAAGGGGCGGGTGCCTGTAGATAGGGTTTCCCCTTCTGGGAGACCACACTTAGTCGATACACTATCTCTCTCTCTCTCTTTCTGGTTCTGTCGCTCTTTTCGCCCTACTCTGCGCTCTCCTCCTCGATCAGATAGTCTTATTCAGGGCATCTACTTAGAAAATACAACTCTCATTCTCTCGTTTCTGGTCTCTCTATAGATGTCTCTTTTCATCTGCCGTCGCATCGGCCTCAGTGGTGACCCAGACGAGCTCTTGCAAATTCCGAAGCATAGGAACAACATCAAAATGCCATCTGGTTAAAAGCAATTCAAGCACCAGCAGAATGCTCGCACTAGCCGTTGACTCGTCCCACTTAGATAGGCCCTGTTCAAGATTTTGAAATGTCTCTTATCCGGGTGGGCCTGCCGCTGGTGCTTCGGCAGATTACTCAGGGCCCGCGCCACATAGGGGCAGCGGGGGCAGCGGTACCCCTGGTAGACTGGCAGCCCAGGCACGGGGTAGCTCTCTGGGGGTGGAGGCTCGCATGCCCCCTGGGTGGGGTCCCAAGCCGGTCGCGGCGGAGGGATGCTTCCTGTGCCGGGTGGCCAGATGGCTTTGGAGATGGGGAACGAGCACCGCATACCTACATGGGCGGCAGATCCATACCCTGTGTCTCCACTTGCCTTCTCGGTGGTTGTATTGCCCACATGGTATCGTAAAGCCAGGTCTCCGACTATCTTGTTGATACTTGAAGGGTATTTCCAGACAAGGATATCCAACTACCAGTATTCGCATGATTGGTGCTAATCCTTGTCAATATGGTCACTACCCCGCTGCATGTGAGACATCCTTAGCATGAGACGCCAACGGTCGCCATCAATTTCAACCTTCCTTCATCCTCATCCATCCACCTCAATTGCTTTTAGAGATTTATTCAGAGGCCAATTTCATCCGAAAACTATTATTATCCATGGCGTTCAGGCGTAGCATCGTTCCTCTCTATGCGAACATCCGTCATGGAATAATACCGCGCCATCACGGACTCCGCAGATGCCCTCAACCCATCGCATCCTTCTCGACCCATTTTGCTGTCGCAAACAAGCATATCGGCTCTCAAAAAGACCAGTCGCAAGGCGCTCGTCCGCAGGATCCAGAAATCCCATCCTTCAGTTTCGACTCTCTCGGTCTGAGCAGGACTACCAAGACCGTTGTCCTCGTCATTCTCGGTGTCTTTGGTACTATCGAAAGCTGGTTCTGGGTCCAGACAATTTGGCGCTGGTGGAAGAGCGACGCCGAGGAAACGAAGTAAAGCCAGTGAAGTCATGCACTGGCTGCAGTATTTGACGTTTTGTACGATAGAGAAGTCCTACCATACTATACATCTCCGCTCAACAGAGTACTGATTCCATGATGACAACTTTGACACCAAACCAAATTGATCACTACTATGAGTCATGCTCACATACATTAGATATCAATTCACTTTGGACAAACGATCTGCACCTTGGATACGAGTACGGAATGAGTTATCATCACATCTGCCAAGACGGCCATTCCATCCAATCAAGGACTATGAGTCACTGTCGCCGATAAACACGATATTCCCACATATTTATAAGCAGCTGGATTTCCCAATGGTCGGTCTGTAAGTATACTTCTCGACCCGATCAAACACAAAAATGACCAAATTAACACCTCCAATCCCTACCCAAACATGGACCAGAGGGGCATACTTCATCTCGACGGACTCCTCACTCATCCCCCTAGAAACCCTCAACGACTGGTTCGCATCAGACGACATATACTGGGCAAAGGCACTGCCCCTAGATATCCTAAAACAATCACTTGAGAACTCTCTCTGCTTCGGCCTCTACTACACACCCGAGCAGCCAGACAAGGCCAGCGCGGGCCCCGAGTTCATCGGCATCGCCCGCTTCATCACAGATTATACGACGTTTGTCTACATTACCGACGTCTACGTGCACCCCAGCCACCAGGGCAAAGGGCTAGGCAGTTGGCTTGTAGAGTGTACTGGCGAGGTTATCGATGCGATGCCGTATCTGAGACGGAGTATGTTATTTACGATGAACTGGGAGCGGTCGGTGCCATTCTACAAGAAAATCCTGGGGATGAGCGTGCAAGAGAGTAAGAGTGGACAGGGAATGGCTATGATGATGAAGAAGGGGAATGGATATCCGAATTTTGAAAATGGAGCTTGATTCGAGACTTTTTTGGGCCAGAGCTTTTAAAGAGGGTTGATAACGACGAGAGCTGGGCGATCATGCAGAAAGCGAAATTTACAGATTATTCTTATGCAGTTCTTTTAGACGGTTAAATTCAAGGACTATGGGGCCTATCAAAAATGATACTAAAAAAAAAATGACCTACGCAGGATTCGAACCTGCAATCTCTTGATCCGTAGTCAAGCGCCTTACCATTGGGCCAGCAGGCCTTGTTGATGACTTTCTGCTGTTATTACATACATGGACTAGTTGTATTTTTTACGATGGTTGATATTTGATGGAAGACATGCACTTCAGCACAAAATATCTCGAGGACGAGAATTTGACTCTGAAAACAATGCGTTTATCGAATAAGCTTCATTAAACCAGTCTCTGAAGAAGTTGGGATTTGTGTTACATGAGGAATATAAATTATTCCCAACGAAGTTCATCGACGTCCGGGATAAACTGCATGTCTGATGTAGAACGCTTATCGATGACCTGAAGATTCCAAGCCATCGATTGAAAGAAAGATATACATCAATGATTGTCGAACATCAAGTATCCTGGTATGTTCTTCCAAATGTGGCATATAGCTAAGATTTGTTCTACCATTATAGATGTCGGTTAAGGATGGTTCAGAACACATGTGCGTTTGCAGTGTTGAAGAATCAAAGTAAAGAAGTCTAGGACTACAGTTGCACCACTGCGCGGAACACCGCAGTTTACGCCGTCAGACGTAACCAACTTTGGCATAACAGGCCGCGGAGATATGACCAACCAAGGCTAGGAGCCACAGTATTGTGGGACTAAATGCTCCTCCAATTCAATATGGAAAATCAAATATAGTCTCAACTCTAATTCAAGTGTATAGACCAGAGAGGAAGAAAAGAGCAATATATATAGAATGCCTATAGTATTGCAGCAATGACTAGCCGAAATAGGCTGAGTTTGAGCTTGGCCCAAAAGTAATAGTTATCTTCATTCTTAGTCCTTTGCGCATTGTATGATCATATCATCATGATTGACGCTTTAAACTTCATATATATACAAAACATTACTAAACAATACTATGACAGTGATGTGTAGGTTACCTAAGCCAAGATGCACTGCTACAGGTCCCCACATCACCCTTACATATCAGCATCTTTTGACAACAGAAGGGCCTGATCTTTAGTAGCTTCCCTTGAATCTAGCAACAATGCTGAAATGGTACCATACGTAACTGTTGTCTGTCTGTGGTGACTACCTGAGCATTAGATCTGCATAAATGTGACAGCAGGACCTGCTGTGCATCATCACATGTAATTTATGATCGGCGCCCACATGCAGTTGATGCAGCAATACTAAATCCATCTCAGATTGTGTTACGCGTTTGCAAGGATGGAAAGGCATCAGACCAATCATGGAGCAAGTAGAAGGCAAAGGATGGAGTCCAGATAGGCAGCGATCTACGCAACGGGCAAAAAAGAGAAGCGATTGACTTTAGATGCATCGACTCGATCCAATAATATAGAGGTTTTGAGCAAGATTCATCCTGACGAATTCCACATATGGCCATCAAGTCTCCCTCGCAGGAGAACGTGTCATGTGCAGGGTTGTCCATGAAGAGTATCATCTATAGAAGCTAACCTGTGATTAGTTGTACCTTATGCATGGCCGTGTCAAGCTGTCTGATAGGTTAATGTAAGAAGTGATTGAAGAGCAGAAGCTCAAAATTCTCATATTCTATTTAAATATCACCAGGACTAAACTCCTGTTCAAACGTGTAGAATGTAACAGAATCGTCTGCCAGACCGGGCCGACGTCAGGCCTCCAGAAAGCAATGTCATCTGTAGATCACTGAAACCAGGAGGCACATTCTAGCGCTTACTCTGCAGGCATAACATCATCCAAACCCCTAATCAAGGAGTATCCCTCCATTTCTGTATTCGTGATCTACAAAGGAAGATCCCTCACACATAAATGACATGTTTACTAGGTAAGGAGTCAAGATAAGATATAAAAGCCATGATTTTCTACCAGTAGAGACTGCCACAAATTCTCTCCTGTCTGGTCTCTTACCACTTCGAAATGATGTGCTGGATAGTCTACTTCCTGCCATTCTCAGTTTGGCCTGGATGTGCCATCCCCACTTTTGGGTGGCCAAGGTTCTTCAACCCAGATCTCCAACAGGGAATCAAGGTGACATCCATTTTTTATTTCCCGGGCCTGGACTTGGCGAGACTTCATCCCGACCCGAAACGGGTCCGGTCTTCACCGAAATCAAGGCAGTTTTCCGGGCTAGGGACCGAATCCACACCACAGCGGCTGCGGCGTGGCCCGTGTGGCTTCTTTTC